GCTAATGTCTCCTGAAAACACCTTTCTGCTGTGTTCTGATTACAAAGTTAATAAATGCCTACCTTGACTTGGTAGAAGAGAATATTATAAAATGCAGTTAGCAAATGAAGGTTCTTCCACTTAGACATAAAAGGAAGAATTGTATTGCATCACTTAATTTTACTGTTATTTTTAAATTGCTTAAGAGCCACATACTTAGACTTGGGGAACTGTCAGTAGTGGAATCGAATGAAACATTAAAACATGAACAAACTTGTACATACATAACACTGCTTGGCAGGAAAAAGAGTTTTGCAGAAATGAGAAAAATGTCTGATCCCACCATATTCAGTTTTGAGGATTTTAAATGGAAGTGAACACCTCAAACTTTATATTTCTGTTGTTATTTAAGGAAATATTTAATGAAGGCTCAGGTAACATTTGTGTTACAGTGTATAAGATATACCCTGCATATAAATGCTGCATAATGCTGTTTTCGAGTATAATTGCTTTTCAAAAAGGCAAAATACTATCCCAATTATGGTAGCATAGCTTTTCAGTCTGACAGCAGTTTCAAGCAGTGTGACCGTTGTGTTAACCCGGTAGGCAGCTCAGCGCCACGCTCGCTACCCCACAGTGGGTACAGGAGGAAACTGGGTGTTAATTTTAATAGGACAGGAAAGGAAGGGAAAATAATAATAATGATGATTAAAGAATATACAGAACAAGTGATGCAGAAGTGCAAGTGACCCATGCCCAGTCAGTCCCTGAGCAGCAGCTCCCCACCCCATCCAGCTCCCTCAGTTTTATCATTCACCATGATGCCATATGGTATGGGAGAGCCCTTTGGCCTGTAGGGGCCAGCTGTCCTGGTTCTGTCCCCTCCCAGCTCCTTGTGTTCCCCCAACTCCTCACTGGTAGTGCAGGACAAGAAGCTGAAATGTCCTTGGCTCCATGAGCACTGCTCAGCAACAACTAAGACATCAGTGTGCTTCCAACATTACTCTCATAATAAATGCCAAACACTGCACCAGCCCAGCTACTTGGAATAAAATCAACACTATCCCAGCGGAAACCAGGACTGGGACTTTTACTTCAATTAGATTTACAAATAATATAGATTGTGTTTCAAATGAAGTTCTAAATAAACATAAGTTTCTCAGTAATTAAATTATATGACAAACAAAAATTTTTTTAACCGCCTTAGTCATGAGAAAATTGTAAAAAGTGGCTCTGTAGGATGGTCTCCCAAGGATTTTGTACTGAGGCTGCTCTGCTGAAGGGTTCTTATTACTCTCTGGTACTCTTGCTGGTGTTCATGATAGTGTTGGTACAAGAAGAGAGCAGACTTGAATGTGCAGTCAGATCGGGGGAAAGCACTCTCTTGGGGCAGCAAAGAGAAACACATCTGTTTAACCTGACTGTGGGACAGGATCTGTAGGATTTGGCTCTCCTTTGAAGAGGGTGTGCAGACAGGAAAAGACTTTCTTCAGTTCAATCAAAGTGTTCTTAGCCTGGGGAAAGACACAGCTCTGAGAAAAGGCTCTTTGGAGAAATGCCAAGTGTGGTATTCCTCATTGTCACCCACCTTGTGCCCATCTGCTTTCTTTTCAGCATGTGCTCTATCAGCACATTTCTTATACATTCACAAATCTGCGGCATCAGAGAATAATTGTACACACAATTCCAATGGCTTAAATGGGGCTTTCTTTGCATGTGTAAGTCCAATTCTGTCCAGAAAATGTGAACAATAATTTACTGTGCCTCACCTAGGAAGGGCAGCCGAAGAATGTGCTGGGTGCCCTTGAAGTACTGAAGCCAGGTGGCAAACTGTTGTGGTTTCAAGGCCAGCATAATCTGGGTTTTGGTCTCCCTTCAGATAATCAATCACATAGCTAGGGACCACTTACCCTTTTCGTGCCCTTTTCTGTCAACAGTTTTCCATGGTCACTGTCTCGCTTTCAGCTGGCCTGATGTATTCAAACCAAACTTTTAATTGAGGTGCAGTTTGGAATATTACCTAATCTGTCCATGACAGCAGGATGCATTCTGTCAGTGTGCTGAGCGAGGAGGGAGTGCAAAAGTGTTGACAAGTGTGGCTACATCCAGGAGACATTTCTGACCCAACTTTTTATTCTCAAAACATTTCATGGTTTGTTTTGTTTTAATTGAAATGATGCATGTTGAAAAATGGAGACCAGAAAGGATGCAATAGCAGAAAGGTTTCGTATTCATATTTTTACAAATACAGATCTTTATATTTTAATACCAAAGAGCCTGTAATTTCAAAAATCCATTATACTAAAACCCTTTTAATTCTCAGTTGAAATGAAAAGCTTATAGGGCAGAGTTCGAATAAACTATTTTGTTTATCTCAAGACTGATGTATTTTAGTTGCTTTGGCTCTTTATAGAGGGGAAAAAACCCAACCAAAATAATAAAACAACAACAAAAAACTTTAGATATTTGAACAGCTTTACTGAAAATAAAATACCAAGAAGGCTGAAACTGTCAGTGCATTAGTACCTCCGGGTCAGCTTTTTGACCTTGCTGCTCTACTTTGAAAAAGTACTTTCTAAATTAAAAAATATGCATGTATAACTCAAGGGCTATAAAAGTGCTTCAGAGTGAGAATTTTGTATCTTTCCTAAAAAATGCTTGTCTAATCTTCTTAATACTTCCCATGATAGAAACAGACTTCTCCAGTCCTGAATTAATTTCACAGAAAAAATTGTTCAAGTTTTTGATTGATTTTTTTTTTTCCTCCAAAGCAAGCTCATGCATTTTTATCCAACCTGCTGTAGATACACAGAACAACCTTCCTTATTTGTTGGTGACAGCCTTGCAAAATCTGTTATTGTGCCCATTCTAAATTTTCTCTTCTTTAACCTTATCAGTTCCAGTTCACTAAATCTCTCTTCACAAGTCATATATTCTAGATTTCTGATCTCTTTTCAGAAAGATATGGAGCTCTTTCTTAGGGATTTTTCAGATAGCTCATGCTTTGAAATGTGGTGCCCCAAATGGATACAGCATTCCAGCTCAAGCTTTACCACTGCCAAGCAGAATTGAAAGATTAATTCCTGCTCTTTGCAAGCTGTTCTTGCATACACATTGCAGTATGATTGCTTTTTTTTTGCAGAAGCACAACTGTGACTCTTGCTCAGCTTGTGATCTGCTGTATCTCCCAGGTTGCCATGTGGTGTTTCCCATCAGGAACAGCTGATTATTTCTGCCTGAATGTAGTCCCTCCTGGTTTTCCATACAGCATTTCAAACTCCTTTTCCAAGCAGTGCTCCCATTTCTGAAAATTATTTAAAATTTTTGCAATGCTTTCCTGTTGCACATATTCAGATTTAGTGTGGTTTCTGTTCTATCATTTGAGTTCTTAATGAAAACATTTTCCATTTTGTAATGGACCTTGATTCAGTATGAATTTTCAGTTGTTTAGAGACTCATTAACAGCAGCTCTCTGGTTATGGTTTTACACTCACTTTTCACTCACTTTAATCTAAGCCTTGTTTCTTATATTAGCTTTTGAAATTGTTGTATGAAATGGTGTCAGAAATCTTGCTGAAGTCAGAATATATGACAGCCTTCTGTTTTTCTGTCATGACTCATAGAATCATAGACTGATAGATAGGAAAGACCAGTAAGATCATCCAGTCCCACCATTAACCCATGCCTGTGCCCACTCTAGACCATGCCCCACAGTGCGATATCTACTCTTTTCTTGAACACCTCCAGGTACAGTGACTCCAGCACCTCCCTGGGCAGCTTGTTCCTATGCTTATGCTTAAAATTCCTATGAATTTTTTCCTGATATCCAAGTTGAACCTCCCCTGGTGCATCTAGAAGCTATCACCTCTCATCCTCTGCAGGGAGAAGAGGCCAATCCCCACCTCATCACGACCTTCTTTTAGGCAATTGGAGAGTGAATACTCTCACCCACCTCGCAAGCAAACTGTCTTGTGATTTGAGTTTGCAGACAAACTCATTACTTACTTGCCTATCACTCCTTTTTTTTTTATGTTTCCTGAGTATTTGTTCAGTTTTTTTTCAGTGCATTGAATTTGAACAGACTGCTCTAATAATGAAAGCCTCACATCCACCAGCCATCTGATTAACCATCTTTGCTCACTAATAGTGGTAGTGCTGAAGCCATTTCATTGCCTTCTTGGCTATGTTAGGATTGAGTCCATAATACACACATGACCTGAAAACTTAGAATTTATGGAAATGTTTTTAGTTTGTTTTACTATTTTAGGCAATTAAATTTCCTTGTGACTGGGCACTACAGGTGCTATCTGCTGTGCTGCAGTGGCCACCATGGACTGAAAGGAGAGGAGTATTTGCTTCAGCCAAGCTCTTGATCTACTCTATCAAATTCAGCCCAAAGTCACCTCATTTGCAGTTATAGTGGCAATGCTGGCAGTGTTGAATCAAGTAATTGGGAAAAGAAGATGGGAATATATAGTAGTTCAAGGTGAATAGAAAAACTTTTATTTCAGACATGGCTTACTTGTAATACAATGACACAAAGTATTATTTCCAGAATCTGACAGTAGGTTTTGTAATGTGAAATACCATCCAGGAGTCCTAAGTGAAGCATGTTATTCTGACACCAGACTCCAATCTTCATCTATTTAAATAAATCTCCTGGGCCAGGGGGCACAAGGGACGAGATTTATAGGAAAGGAAATGAGAATGTTATCTCCACTTTGCTGTGTAATACACGTTTAAGAATGGCTAGAACTCTCTGAATAATGAATATATCTCTATGTCATGGTAGTGCAAAATACTGTCTGTAGAACAGTAATTGCAAATGAGAACTGAGAAACAGTTATTGGAAAATTGTTACAGACCTTAGCAAATTGCTAATTTCCAAAAAAAAAAAAAAAAAAAAGCCATAGATTTCATTTTGTAGGATGACTTTCAATTATGATAAAAAACATATTTCATATTTCAAAACTAGAATGACTCTGATACTTTTTTTTTTTTTTTTTTTTAATTCCTTGCAGCTCCCAGACAGCTGTATAATGGATTACTATGAAAAATACAAGCACAGAATGAATGAGCTTGAAGCATTTAATATGGTAAAAGTTATAAGATTAATACCGTTACCTTGTATATATGTGGTAGTTTAGAACAAAGCCCTGTTAAGTTTTATGTGGAGGTAGACTGTCTTACTTTCTGGTATGCAATCTCAAAAACAAAGCAGCTCCACTTCCAAACTTTGGAGTATATCTCATTCCAAAACTATATTAGGTGTCAGTAAAATAATAAAGCGAACACATGGAAGATTCTTTTTCAAGGGGGACCATTACCCTGGAAAATAAAATGTTAGTCTCCTTTTAAACCTAGAATAGTCTCCATGCAGTTATTTCATAAAAATTCTTTATATTAAAATTCATTATTTCCCTCTTTAAAATTGTTCTACCTCATATAATATCATTTTCATGTTGGACAACACTTCAAAAACAACTAATAATGTAGTTTTCTAGCTTTATGGCTTTCCATGTATTTTTGATCTTTAACGTAATCTGTTCTGAAGATGACCATCCTACAAGGTGACATCTGTACAGCAAAGCCTCTAGAAATTGATTGACCTTCCTGGTATTATTTTGTTGAAGTGGAGCCATTGGGAAGTATTGGCTCCCTTTCCCAAAATCATAACAGTATCTAATCTTTCTTTCAGCTAAAGGTTGTGCTAGCTCCCTGCATAGAAGTTTTGATACTTCTGGATCGTCTTTGCTACCTCAAGGAGCAGGTATTTTTGCATTACATTTTATGGTACCTAAAGGCTGCATCAGAGAAATGAGACTATTTCAGCCCATTTATTACTGTGCAGACAAAAGTCTCTGTTGTAGAATTATTTTCTCATATTTGCAAAAGTATAAGCATTCATTCTATTTAGTATAAACATATGTCCAGCAGATGTTTTTATTTTCAGTAAAGCAGCAACAGTAAAGCTTAGGTTCATTTAATCGAATAGTAATTACAAGCCAATAAATGATAAAAAATGAATAAATTGTATATGCAACAAATCTCGTTTAATATGACATAGAGATTATTAAAAAAAATATTGGAAATGCAAGACAAACATTATACTGCACATTTTAGAGCTTCCAAAGGATATTTTGTAGAACATATAATTCAAGAAATTTTTAATTAGGTCCCATTACATTGCTTTTATTGTTTATTAATGAATATCTGTGATGAGAGAGGTACACTTTTTCCAACCATATGGATCAACTGAAGTACATTTGATAAGCAAATGCTACTATATTTACTCTATAATGATTTATGATACAGTGTTTCTACTAATACTAATTTTGACCTTGACTTGATAAATTCAGAAGCATCAATCACTCTTTCTCTGCGCTGGTAAACGTATTTTTGGACAAGCAACAATTTTATTGGAGGACATGGTAGCATCTTCCAGCTCCTGCTTTGGTCCATGGTGAAAATGAAATTTTAATATACAGTTTAAACCCATTCATGTGAATAGCTGTTTTTCCACTATAAGCCTTTCATTTTAACAGCTTCTTTTTATCATATCTAAAAATTTACTTTCTTTTTTGCCACAGAACTCTTGGAACAACTGAGCTGTAGTAAATGTATGTTTTTGTTCTAGCTGGTATTTTTACAGAGAGACAATATGAAATATTTAAATAATGATGTATTTTCCCACATGCCAACCAGTTATAAATCACACAGAGATCTGTATGATTTCCAAGACAGGAGATCAGACTTGCTGCATTTAGTTCTAATTTACCTTTCCTAAATGTAATATACCCATTGATTTAATCTTGTACTGGTTGATTTACAAAATATGTTTAGGAAGAAAAAATAGAAATGATAAAAGCCATATGCAACATGAAGACCAGATCCAGCTGGCCTTATTCATTTGAAAAGTCAGTTAATTAGCTGCAGTAGTAGAATGTGCTGCATAAAACAAGTAGGACTTGATCCTTAATATAGTTTCTGTAGTTCAGCTGGGAAAAAAAAAAGCTTTATTGATGAAGGAGGCGGTAAATTGTCATTTCATGGTTCCAGAAATAGTTTAATGACTTTAAGATATATCCTTCTTCGCATTTCCTTTTTTTTACAACAAACTTTCACTATTTTTATTGTTAGACAAGTGTTCTTCTCATTTTGCATTAGGAATTTTTTTTGGGGGGGAGGGGATAGGGGGGCAATGCGGATCTATTACCATATCTTAGCTTTTAAGTCAAAGACATTTTAATGTACTTCAATCATATATCGCTTTACAGAACAACATTGCCTGGTCAGGACTTGTGAAGTTATTTGATCCTGTGAAATCCCCCAGATGCTGTGCAGTTATTGCTCTGAAGAAACAGTCGTGTCTTTAAGTGGAAGCAAACTGCAGATGGGTTGAAAGCGCTGAACTGATACTGCTGTTTCCTCATTGTTCTTTTTAATTGATTCCTCAAGTATACTGATACATTTGGCAACTATTTACTTTTCAGATGCAAAAATAATAAATGCAATGCCTCTGTGAATCGTAAGAAATAAATTGTGATCCGCACCTCTTTTATAATCACCACTGCTTCCTCATGTCAGTTATTAAGTAATGCAGGACGTATGATTTTCTTATAAAAGTTATGACCTGTATTATGTGATTAACATTTTAAAATAATTTTTATGTTTCATCTTTTTAAGGCACTATTCTTATCTATCAATGTCCTTCCTCTTGGTATTTTTAATTTCAAGATTATTCTTCCATAGAAATTTTCTATTTTTGCAATGGATGACATCAACAATCTTAGGCAAGCCTGGCTTTTTTCTTTTCTGGATTCAGACCACACATAGTTTAAACAGAAAATTAATCTGTGTTATAGACAAGAAGTGTGTAGACTAAGTAAGTCTTTGTACTTTCCTGCTCTCCAAGTGAACTAAGGCAGCTTACTGTAGAGCAACCTGAAGAGTCTAGAACCTTCTAAGACTAAATACTAAATACCCACAACAGGAGTTTTATATTAATCTCTTCTTCCTTCAGGCGTGTTCCTGACATGTCTTACTTGCCAGTGACTTTGAAAGAAACAACTGAGTGTGATGTAATCCATTGTATTCCAATATTAAATAATCAGCTGCCTTGCTGCATTTCATTCTAATCCTTGGGTTTTATGAGTAAGCTATTATCTGGCCCAAATGTGTTAGGTATAAGCATAAAAATTTTGGTGCCTAAATTAGTTGAAACTTTCTAGTTAGTTTCTGCTTAGCCATACTGACTTTATGAGTGAGAAATTTATTTGTTGATGTGCTCATCTCAGTCTCATCTCCTTAAGCCTGCAGATATACTATCAATTAAAAAAAGACAAAAGTTTCTATTCTAACTCCTAGTGCTTTTATTAGAACTTTCCAGTGAATATAAAAAATGATTAATTACAGGGAGTATTAAAAAAGGCCGACCAATAAATAATAGAATTCAACATTAAAAAATAAAACCAGAGAATGCAACTTTGGTGGGCAGCAAATGAGAGTAACAGAAAATATTTTTATATTAATTATATAGTGATATAGTAATAGATTTGGGAATCAAACTGAGATTCCAATCTAGGGAACGTTAAATCTTATTCTGTTTCAGTCTGCAAAATATAATGTGAGCTTTTGAACATGGCCATTCAAGAAAAGGGAAGTAGGGTATTTTTCTAACATGTCACATCTCTTTTCATGGATTCACTTGGAAGAAATAAATGTTTTTAGTAGTGTAAGTAATTTCACTGCTGTCTGTTTTAGGACTTTCAGTCCTTACTAGCTCAGTGGATCTGCTGAATGTGGTGCTGAATGTCCTAGTAATGGAGGACACTGAGAAGATGCAGTTACTGAACAACTTCTTTGCTTCAGTCTTTACTGCTACAACTGCCCCTCAGAAATTCCAGACCCTGGATACAAGAGTTGAGTCTAGAGAAAGGAAGACTTCCCTTGGTCAAGTAGTATCTGATCAGAGATCGTCTAGGCAAACTTTACCACAGATCCATGAGGCCCAATGGGATGCACCCATGAGGGCTGAGGTAACTGGCAGAAGTGACTGCCAAACCACTCTATCATCTTTGAAAGGCCACGGAGAATAGGAGAAGTTTCTGAGAATTGGAGGAAAGCCAGTGTCACTCCACTCTTCAGAAAAGGCAAGAAGAAAAATCTGGGGAACAGGCTAGTCAGACTCACTTTCATCCCTGAGAAAGTGATAGAGCAGCTTATTCTGGATGCCATCTCCAAGCAAGTGGAAGAAAAGGTTATCAAGAGTAGTCAGCATGGATTCATCAAAGGAAAATCATGTTTGAACAATATGGTAACCTATGATGTCATGACTGGCTGGATAGATGAGGGGTGAGCAGTGGATGTTGTGTATCTTGACTTCAGCATGGCTTTTGACACTGTATCCCACAACATCCTCATGGATAAGCTTAGGAAGTGTGGGATAGAGAAGTGGTCAGTGAGATGGATTGAGAATTGGTTGACTGGTAAAGCGCTGATGGTTGTGATCAGCAGCTTGGATTACAGTCAGAGACCTGTAGCTAGCGGCATTCCCCAGGGTTCGGTACCAGTTAAGATCTTGTTCAACATTTTCATCAATGACCTGAATAAAGGATAGAATGCACCTTCAGCAGGTTTGCTGTTTAGGCAAAGCTGGGAGGACTAGCTGACACACTGACAGGCTGTGCTGCCATTCGATGAGACCTGGTCAGGTTGGAGAGGTGGGTGGAGAACAACCTGATGAGATTCAACAAGGGCAGTTGTAGAGTCCTGCACCTGGGGAAGAATAACAGCATGCATCAGCACAGGTGAGGACAGGCATGCCCAACTCACAGCCTGCGGGCCACATACAGCCCAGTGCAGCTCACAATGTGTCCCACTCCCTCCCTGCCCTGTGGCATAATGACAATGGTTCTTCTGCATGAAGCAGCTTGGCCTAGCCCCAGGTGGGCAACCGTCACTCAGCAACAACCAAATTTGGGTGTGTTATTAACTCTGGCTGAGCTGAAAGCAGGACGTGGGGCATAGTGCAGTTCTGACAAATATATCTATGCATTTTGATGTGCTGGCTAAACACAGTGTGTGAACAGCAAAAAATATGCAGCTGTGCCTTTTGATAGAAGAATTTGACAATAGGTTTCAACATTGCCAAAAACTTACCATTTTTTTTAATATTTGTGACTCCATTTTCAATTGACATAAATATATTATTTGCAAATTTTCAAATGGAATGTACAGAGTTGCAATCAGATATTCAACTAAAAATATTGATGATGTCTCGGTACTGGACTCTTATGAGCCTGTTTTAGCGGAGAAATATCCTTCGCTTCACAATCACACCTTACTCATGTCACCACTTTTTGGCAATACGTGCATTTGTGAACAGCTGTTTTCAAGGAGTAATCACAGAAAGAGAAAAATTTCATCAAAAAGCTCTGTTTAACACGTTGAGAACTCACTGAGAATGGCAATCACTTCCATTGAACCACACTGGTGCATTAGTGTCACAAAGTCAACCCGTTCAATGATTATTTTTTTTTTGCTCTATTTATGTTTTAATAAAAAATATGAAAAAAAATCTTTTTTTACTTATATACATTGACTATATTATATTTTTTATGAGGGTTGATTTGAAAGTAATTCTCCTATTTTATGATGTTGGCCCTTGGTATCAGAGGCAGATGTTGGTGGTGTGGCAGTAGAGGTTGAGCCTTCCCACCAATATTCCGTTACGTTTTGTTATCGTGTGACAGCTGGCAGCAGAGGGGTAGAATGGTGTCTGACATGGAACTGCTGATGAGGGAGAGATGTGTCCTTGAATTCCTCCATGTGGAAAAAATGGCACCCACTGACATTCACTGACACTGGCTGAATGTTTATGGAGACCCATCAGTAGAGGTGAGCACAGTGAGGCAGTGGGTAATGCCTTTCAGCAGTGGCAGCAGTGACAGTGGGTCACCTCTGCTGGTGCAAGTTTTTAAGAGCGTGGCATGCAGGCTCCTGTTCATCACTGATGAAAATGCAGAGCTAATGGTGGTGAATATGTTAAAAAATAGTGTTTTGTAGCTGAGAATTTTCTCTATCAAACAGTGTTACAGAGCTCACTATATCTTTTGTAGTTTCCATGGGAATAAATAGGAGGCATTACTTTCAAAGCAGCCTATGTATATGCTACCCAATAAAATTCTTCTTCACTCAGTTCAGCCCAGGCAAGCCAAAAGGTTGGACACCTATGGGCTATGGGCTGATGTACTGGAAGGGAGGTCTACGGAGAAGGAGCTGCGTGTCTTGGTGGACAACAGGTTGACTGTGAGCCAGAGGTGTACTCTTTTGGCCAGGAAGGCCAATGATATCCTGGAGTGAATTAAAAAGAGTGTTTTTTAGCAGGTGGAGAGAGGATATCCTTCTCTTCTCTGCCCAGTGAGGCCACATGTGGAGTACTGTGTCAAGTTTTGGGCTCCTCAGTTCAAGAAAGGCAAGGAACTTCTGGAGAGAGTCCAACATAGGGCCACAAAAATGATGAGGGGCCTGGAGCATCTCCCTTATGAGGAAAGGCTGAGAGACCTGGGACTGTTCAGCCTGGATGAGAGAAGACTGAAGGGGGATCTTATTAATGCTTATAAATATCTAAAGGATAGGAGTCAAGTGGGTGAGGTCAGACTCTTTGTGATGGTGCCAAGTGACAGGACAAGGGGCACTGGGCACAAACTAGAAAACAGCATTTATATCCGAACATGAAGAAAAATAACTTTTCTTTGAGGGTGACAGATTAGCAGAACAGGCCGCACAGAGTGGTGGTGGAGTCTCCTCTCAAGATATTCAAAAACTGCCTGGATGCTTTCCTGTATAACTTTCTATAGGGAACCTGCTTGGACTAGCTAATTTCCAGAGGTCACTTTCAATGCCTACAATTTTGTGATTCTGTGATCCAGTACGAGCTTCTCACATTTATTTAGCTCTAGCAGGTTCAATCCTTATTGTTGCTGAACAGTTGCAATACTCAAGGAAATCAACTTCAGCTGCAGGTGCTCACAGCATCTCTGGAGTACAACTAAAAAGAGAAAATGAGGCCTTCCACATATGAGATTCTTTGGTATATAGAGAGTACTGAGGAAAATAACAAGCTGGTAGATTCTTTACCCAAGAGAGAAATCAAAAGAAATAAAAATCTTTTCTTAACCTCTAACATCTGGAAGGAAATATGAATAGTATCCAATATAAAGAAGGAACTTAAGGTAAATAACGTCTAAAAAAAAGATGAACAAAAATATTTAAAAAATAAGCTTATCATATTGGCTTTGCTAATTATGATGTCTAATTATTAGTATAGAGATTTGCCATCCCAACCTTGTGTGCTGTTGGAAAAATTTACTTGGGTTCTAATTGCCTTTATTGTGTTATAAATTGTTTTTCCTGCTTTTTCAGACCACATACCAAAAACCGGGCATATATGGTGTCCAAACAAAGTTATCACAGTTATTGACTGAATGCAAATTTTTAAGAGTACCCTGTATTTGCAAGAAAAATAGTCGCATCAGCAAGCTCTGCCTGGTTTAATTTGAACAC